TGTCCCAGCAGAACCCCAGCAAAGGCCAGACTTGGTTCTGTGTTGCTGGATTTGGGTCACTTTAAAGCCACGCTGAAAAAAAGGGAGGCTGGAAACCAGGAAAGGGAACAAAGCCTCACTCCAGGTGGGAAGCTCCACACAGAGATATCCAGGGGCTGGATGGACAGGATTGACCACTGCAACTGGGAGAGCATCCCACGGTGCCGTGAGAGGAATTAACTCCACGGTGACATTCTTGCTTTGACTTCTCCCTTTCCACACCTCCCTTTGACTTGGGGAGCGCAACGATGGAGAGATAAGAAATAAATGTGGTACAATTGACACAGATAACATCAATCTGCTTTTATGATGATATCTTCTCTCTCGTGCAGCTGAAGCAGCAAGTGCTGGCAAACTGGGCTCGTTAGTGTGAGATTCAAGAAGCAGCAGCTCTGCGTGGGCGTCGTGCGACTGCCACCGGGCTCGGGGATCCTGCTTACATAAGCCTTGTGTAACAAAAACCGATTTCAAATCGATGCTGTGATCTTTGGCTTGAACTGATTTCGAGTTCTCTTGGCCACCCCGTGTGTGATTTCAATTTGCTCCGAACTAACGAGCTGGTAGGTTTGGCTCACCTCGAACCACCCGTGGACGGGGCTGGCACGGATCACGCGGGAGCCACCCGAGTTTTCTCTGGGCAGGCCTTTGCTCACACACATTCACCCAGGATGCATCAAAACTGGTTATGCTGGCTTTAAACTTGTCTAATTCCCCTCTGTTATCAGACTTAGCGAGATCAGTTCGACTGAGGGTTTTAATTCAATTCTTCCCGTTCTGTTTGAAACGCCCCGGTCGGAGTTCGAAGGTTGTTTTCTAAATGTACTCGTTTTTCCACTTTCCTTTCCTCTGGCGAGTGGCTTTTTCTTCTCTTGCACCTTTCATGGAGCTGGAATTACATCCCTGCACCTTTCCCTGCCTAATGAGAGCCACAACAAGGTGCAGACGGTGCTGCACAGTGCCAGAACAAAGGTCTCTGCCCGTGTCCCTGCGTCCCTGCCTGATGACAGCGCTGCTCCAGGAAGCCCTGGGAGTGTCTGAGCCACCAGACAAGAGGCTGCAAGGCATGGGGGAGGTGAAGCTGGGCTTGGGAAACCTCAATTCCAGGCTGAGCAGCACAGGGGTCCCCCCCAGTGACCCGGAGCTGGGATGTCCACGGAGAGATGCTGTTAATTGTCTGTTCCTGTAGGTTGTGGTGGCTGTAATGTTGGGAGAAGGTTCCAGCAGCTGAGTGACTGTGCTACAGTCAGGGCAGGGCAGCCCTGGCTCACCCCATGGACACGGGGAACCCTGAACCTCACAACAAGCTGATTAATCAGGTTCATTAAGAGCGACTACAACGACACCAGCAATGTTAGTTATGGAAATAACCGCCCATCTCCCGCCCTTGGGGGAGTCACCACAGAGGCATTTGGGGTTTTCTGTGGCCTGCAGAGGGCTGCAGCCAGGCCCAGCCCCTGCAATTTGTTCCTGCTCTTCCCTCACCCTCCTGAGTGTTCCTGGAGTGCATTTACACCCCGAGTGAGTAACAGTGGCACAGAATCACAGAATGGTTTGGGTGGGAAGGGACCTTAAAGATCATCTCATTCCACGGGCAGGGACACCTTCCACTAGCCCAGTGCTCCAGCCTGGCCTTGGGCACTTCCAGGGATCCAGGGGCAGCCACAGCTTCTCTGGGCTTCCTTTTTTGCAAGAATGAATCACAGAATGGTTTTGGGTTGGAAGGGACCTCAAAGATCATCTCATTCCAACGCCCAAAGGAACCCAACTGACTCATCTGGCACCGTCCCCTAAAGATCTGCAAGGGTTAGGGCAGCACTGGCTCCTCCTCTGCATCACCCCAGACCACCAGCTTCCAGGAGCGAGTGGAACAAGCCAGGAACGTGTTCCTAGATTTCCCAGACTCCTCCCAGTTAAACAGGGCAGGGAGATGAAAAGCCACAATATCTATTGGGGTTGCATTCAAATGTGCAAGAACAGGTCCTTCAAGGTAATTATCCCTGTTTACTGGAACTGAGTGCACGTCTCTACAAGAGATGCCTTGCAGAAATCAGGCTTATCTGCCCATCTGAAGGTTGGACAATATTAAAGTGTATGAAATTTAAAAGAAAATACAAGTTTTCACTGTCTCTCTAAAGTTGGAAGCGCTGAGGGATAGAGTGTATTCTTAGGATTGATTTGGAGCGTTTTGGCATGGAGTTGGATGTGATTGCTAAGGCAGACCAGTTTGGTAGCCTTATTATGGGATGTTCAATGCAGTGTTTGTTTATGCCTGTGTCATTTTTTTGGAGCTTCCTGCCCTCCCCGTGTCTGACACACAGAAGACAATTTTTGATCATCTCGAAGGCTCACAACTGAGGAGAATAAACCAGGTGTAAAACAGGGCATAACCTTTTGCTGGGAAGTGCAGACGGGTTCTGTGGGTGCCAGCAGGAAAGGGAGGGTAATTCCTACCTAAAGGACTGGCATAGGAACCTTGGATTAAATTTTCCCTCTTTCACAATGTTTCCTATGGAAAGGGACTTCAGCTATTGCTGTCTCAGCCTCTGTTGAGAAAGTGGATTATGTGCTACCTTCTATCACCACTTTTTAATATATATTTTTATATATATATCTATATTTTACGTTTTTATAGTTGTAAAATTTTAGGGATGTGTTAGCAAGCATCTCTGCCCCTTACACACCCCCAAGGATTCTCTTGTATTACCAACCAATAATTCTAACAGAAGAACTAATTAAAGATTTAGAAGGAAGAAAAGTACAACAGGAGGCTAAAACCTTTGAGAAATTCTATTTGGTTCTTTTTTTTTTTCCCCTAGCCCTGCTGAAGTCAGGATTTCTCACTGCTTAAGGTGTTCACAGTTTAAATATTCCCCTGCTCCATATATTTCAGCCCTCTTGAAATATCCAGCCTTATTTCTCCAGCCTAATCTCTTGTTCTCCCCGTAACAGTCAGACTGTGTCTGGCCATTTGGGAAATAGTTCATAATTCCATGCTTAAATAACTGCCTTTTGATAAAGGTCCAGCCCAGTGCTCTGAGAGCTGTTTTGTTTTTATGGATGGAGCAGACAGAGCAGAATGATGTTGCCTGCATACTAAGAAACTTGGCCCGGAGCCCACACACACACACACACACAGCAAAGGCAAAATAAATAAATAAACATATCAATCAATCTTGACGTCACCAGGAAAAGGGTCACTGCCATGTGGAACGAGACATCTGGCCAGTGAAGTCACAGCTCTGGAAGGATGCCACCGAGCAAGTTCACATGCTCTGCAGCACAATGGGATGAAATGACAGTCAAAAGAGGGGGAAAAAAAAGGGGGAGGATCAATTCTAATTGATGCTAAGTGAGCAGGGGATTAAAGCAGGAGCTCCCGACCTTCTGCCAACCTGCCCATGCCTTCAACCTTTTCCTGTTGAAAAAACTCCCATGATTCCAACCCCACCCAGGGTTAGGACCAGCCTGGCATCTCACATGACACTGCCCATTACCTTTTAGAACCAGCCTCGGAACAAGACAGAGCAGAACCTTACCACACAATTAAAATTAAAACACGTGGAGGAGGACCCTTCCCGCAGCCCTGCACATTCCCACACGCAGGAATAAAGAAGGTGCACTTGCCCAGGTGTTTGTGTTACCTGCAGCTGCACCACAACCACACACAAAATGACAATTTGTCAGAGAACCCACAGCCACAGACCACTGCAGCCTTTGGGATGCAGCCTGCGTGCCAGGGGAAGCTTTGTAAACGCACTTAAAAGCCAAATGCAAACTGTCTCACTCATTAAACAGGAAGGTTTTTGAGAAGAAGGAACACGAAATGTCTGCAGGAAGGAGAGAGACCTCCCCCCGACAACTCTTTCCCCTGCACACACGGCCAGCTCGCTCCTGCAGGCTATTGTCTGTATTTCCCTCGGTCCCCATCCAGACACAGCATTGAAAGCGGCGGGAGATTGTTCCCAGTGGAAGCTCCGATATTCCCTTTATAGCGCCGGGACACCGGAGCCCATCCGGACACGCAGCCAGGATGCTCCTGGCACAATGGAGCATCTGCCCCCGGAGCGTGGCGGCTCCCGCAGCCCCGGGCACTGCTCAGGCGGCCTGATTTGAATGCAGCGCAGCCGAGCCGGAGTCTTTGTTGTCATAGCCCAGATTCCTTTAAGACCGCTAAAAAAAAAAAAAAAAATCCACCCTCCAAGAGATGGGAATGTGACTGCATGGAAAATGACTGTATTCCTTGAGCCCCGGCTCTGCGGGCGGTTCCAATCGGCTCTGTCCGGCTGAGCCCCGCGGGGTGATGATGCCCCGTCCGCCCCGTCCCAATCCCAACGGGATCCGGCGCTGCCCGCCCGGATCCCGGAATTCCTAATTTTTGTATTATTATTTTTTTTTCACGTGCCAAGCGCCCGGACAGAGCGGGACAGCGCGGCGGGGAGGGAGAGCGGGATGCGGGGGCACAGGAGGGATGCGGGGTAGAATGAGGGGCGCGGGGTAGAATGAGGGGCACAGGGGGAATGCGGGGCACGGAAGGGGGGGATGCGGGGTGGAATGAGGGGCACGGGGGGGATGCGGGGCACAGGGGGAGGGATGCGGGGTGGAACGAGGGGCACGGGGGGGATGCGGGGCACGGAAGGGGGGTATAGGGGGCAGAATGAGGCGCATGGGGGGGATGCGGGGCATGGGAGGGGAGGGTGCGGGGTAGAATGAGGAGCACTGCAGGGATGCCGGGCACGGGAGGAGGGCATGCGGGGCACGGAGGGACAACGCCCGCTGTCCCGGCTGGGCCCCGTCTCCATCCCCTCGGCGGCTCCGGGGCCATCTCCCCTCTCTCCCCTCCGCAGCCCGGGCGCGGCCCCGCGCAGCGCGGAGCCGGCGAAGGGCCCTGCCCGTCTTCTCCGTATCCTTCTCCAAGCCGCCCAAAACCATTCCCGGGGCCGCCCCGGCTTCCTTGCTCTTACCGGAACCGGGGCGAGTCCTTGATGCACTCCTCGAACTCCACCGTCATGCTGCCGGTCGGCCCTGGGCGCGCTCAGCGGAGGAAGCGCATCGCCCGCCGCTCTGGAGCCGAGGACGCGCGGGCAGCAGCGCCCGCCCCCCGCCGCCGCTGCGGGGATGGAGCGAAGCCCGGCACCCGCCTCCCTCCCACCGCACCCGCGGGCACCGCGGGCACCGCCGGCCACGCACCGAGCCGGGCACGGAGCGCGGTCACCGCCCCGCCGGCCCGCGGGGCATCCCCTGCCCGGCACCGCGCCGAGGTGGGTGGGTGGGTGGGAGGCAGCTCCGCCGTCCCCTTTGCTCGCGGTGACAAGAGTTAATTAGGGTGCGAACGACCTCTGAGGTCACAGGATCGTGAAAACATCAAGGCTCTGGAAGAGGGGTTTAGGATAGAGTCCAACTGTGACCACAGCGCCCAGCACCAGATCCGGGTGGCTCTGGGACACCTCCGGGGATGGGGACTCCACCACCTCCCCGGGCAACCTGACCACCCTTCTTTTTCCACCTTTTTATTCCCATGCCTGGCCACCCTCACAGTGAAAATTTTTTTTTAATATCTGATCTGGCTTTCCCCTGTCTCATCTTGAACACCTCCAGGGGTGGTGACTCCACCACCTCCCAGAGAGACTTATTCCAGTGCCTGACCACCCTCACAGTGAAACAATTTTTGATATCTACTCTGAATCTCCCCCATGTCATCTCAAGGTCGTTTCCTCTAGTCCTCCCTCTCAGTGCCAGCACGGTAGGAAAGCAGACCCCTCTTCCATACAATGTCCTTTCAGTGAGGTCCCACCCGAGCCTCATCTTCTGGAGTCCAAACAAACCCAGCTCCCTCAGCTCTTCCTCACAAGACCTTTGATGGCCTTGTTGCCCTTCACTGGACAACCTCCAGCATTTCAATGTCCTTTTTAAAGTGAGATCAAGTCCAAACTATGACCCAACACCACCATATCAACCAGATCATGGCACTCAGTGCCACATCCAGCCTTTCCTTAAACACCTCCAGGGATGGCGATTCCACCACCTCCCTGGGCAGCCCATTCCAATCTGTTATCACCCCTTTTGGGAAGGAAGTTTTGCCTGTTTCTCCCCTGTTTGGGTGAGGATGGGTGCTCAGATGACACTCAGGACATGGCTCAGGGCTGAGCTGGCTGTGACAGCAGCCACCACCTTGGACACCAGCCCGGGCTGTGATGAGCTGGAGGGGCAGCCAGTCATGTCAGGAAGGAATTTTTTACAATGAGGGTGTTAAAACATTGGGATGGGGGTCCCATCCCTGGAAACATCCAAGGACAAAGCTCTGAGCAACCTCATCTAGTGGAAGGTGTCCTTGCCCATGGCAGGGGTTGGACTAATGACATTCACGGGTCACTTCCAACCCAACCCATTCCATGATTTGCCACCAGGTTGTGTGCACTGGAGAAAAAAAAACCCAACCAACCAAACTGTGCAATTCTATATCAGCAGCAGCAAAAGGATTGACATCAATCCTGTTACTACTTAATCTAGTTTTTAATTTTCTATACACAGTGGATTTGCTGCTGCCATCAGCCATGTGATAAATCTGCAGTGTCTCCTCTGGATCCAACATAATCACCCAAGGAAGGAAGACATCTGGGCTTGGGGGTCCAGCTGAACAGATCACATTTGCCACAGGAGAAGCACCATAATGTGGTGTGGATAAATGAGGCTAATTAGTGTGGGCTTAGTCCTGAGCCTCCCCCCACCCAGCACCACAGACACAACAGTGTCAACCACCTCATTCACTGCAGGTTTTATAGGAATTGAGAGAGGAAATTTTATAAGAACTGAGAGATGAACTTTTATAGGAACTGAGAGAAGGGCCTGAAGTGTAAATCTCCATGTTTTAAGAAAATCCTGTGTAATGTGACCACGAGTCAAACATGAGGGCCAGGGGTGTCTGAATCCATGACACGACGTCACGAGGAGGCCTTACCTCAGAACCGTGATGGAATCAGGTGAAATGAGATGTTTAATGCCATTCCTACACAAAAACTACAGCCAAGGTTCTCCTCCAGCCCCCTGTTTCTGCCTGGGTTCTCATACCTGCTCTGTTTGCCAGCCCCAGCCACCTTTGTGTGAGCAAAAGTGAGTCACTTCACGCGGTTATCAGATGCTGGAGGGTTCTGGGGAATTCAGGCAAAGGAATTAGCCCTGCCAAACACCTCGGTCCAGAAGGGGCAAGGTGACCTCTTGTGGCCTCTGTTTCATGTGGTTTCATAAAGGTCAACCCAATGCAGTGATTATTTCCTTTGGTGCTCCCAGCAGAGATGAAAGCAGGCGGCTGCTCCCGCCCGTGTGTGTGCCCAGGCTCAGGGATTAGAAATTACCGTCCCCTTTAAAGCTGAGATTCATCACTTTCATTATAATAGAGTCTGGATGCCATTGTGTGGGTTGAAAGCCGGTTGGATTTTTCCATTCAAAGCAGATCTCAGATTTGCACGAGGGGCCGGGGATTTTTCTGTTGCTCTCTCCCTGCTTTTCCAACGAGTTGGGTGCTTGTTTGTACTGGTTTGAGGCTTCTGCACACACAGACATTGCAGTTCAGTGTTTCAGAAAGACCAAGATTTTTAAATACAGATCACAGTCATGAAGAACATCTGCAGCCTTTGTGTGTTATCATTATCTTTGCCTATTTTTGTCCCCGTAGCTGTTATTTACCCTCAGCCAGTGGCTGCCTGAACACATCATTCCACAGGCAGGCTGAAATACATGGATGTGGGATTGCCTGAAATACCTGTGCTCGTGGGATTTGGAATGGAAGGGACCTTAAAAATCCAGCATCATCATCTTCTCTTATCCTGGAGGCCCCAGGGGTGGACACAGAGACACATCCCCATAAACCACTTTTTTTGTGCAGGAGTTACATTCCTGCCTTAACATTTTAACTTTTTGCCATTCTCCTCTGCCTCAGGGGGGGACTGACAGGTAACTGATGCCCCCACGCTGAGCTGGGAATGGCCCCAGGGATCAAATCCCGTTAGGAATTGACAAAAAACAAACAGTGAGTCAAGTTCTGGTGGTTTCCAGTGACAAACGCTGAGGCAACCAAAGCTGGGTCACATAGTTTAACACGGTTATCAGCTGATCAGTTCTAGATAATAACCACAGTTATCAGGTCTGAGGAAGGCAGGGAAGGCAATGAGCCCTGCAGAACCCTTCCCAGGCCAGGAGAAGGGGCAAGGTGACCTCCTGTGGCCTCCACGGGGTTTCACGGGTCAAATCAATGCAATTATTATTTTCTCTGGTCCGACTAAGTTGCAGGAGCTGAGGAGCAGCCCAGGTGAATCCCAGGGTTCCAGAGGGGTTTGCTCCCCGTGCTCACCACCCAGGCCACCTTCAGCCACTTGGGTTTCTCCAGGTAGAAGGAAAACCCTGTGAGGGTGAGGTGTTCCCACCAGCACATCCCTGGCCCCCATCAGCAGATCCCTGGTCTCTACCAGCCCATCCCCACTCCCCATCATCCCATCCCGTTCCCCTCCTCGCCCATGCCGGTCCCCACGAGCTCATCCCAGTCCCTATAACCTCATGCCGGTCCCCATCCTCCCATCCTGCTCCCCATCCTCCCATCCCGGTCCCCATGACCCCATCCTGATTCCCATCCTCCCATCCCAGTCCACATGAGCCACTCCCCATTATCCCATCCTGGTCCTCCCCGCCCATCTCGCTCCCCATCATCCCATCCCGGTCCCCCCTGCCCATCCTGGTCCCCATGACCCCATCCCGGTCCCCGTGAGCCTATCCCGGTCCCCATCATCCCATCCTGCTTCCAATCCTCCCATCCCGGTCCCCGTGAGCCTATCCCGGTCCCCATCATCCCATCCTGCTTCCAATCCTCCCATCCCGGTCCCCGTGAGCCCATCCCGGTCCCCATCCTCCCATCCTGCTCCCCATCCTCCCATCCCGGTCCCCATGAGCCACTCCCCATCATCCTTTCCCGCTCCCCACCATCCCATCCCGGTCCCCCCCGCCCATCCCAGTCCCCACCATCCCATCCCGGTCCCCATGAGCCCATCCCGGTCCCCATCACCCCGATCCCGATCCCCATCCTCCCATCCCGGTCCCCGCGGCCCCCCCGGCGCGGGCGGCGGCGGAAGCGGCGGTGCCGAGCGGGGGAAGGGGCGGTGCTGCCCGGCCGCTCGGTGCCGGGGAGGGTCCCCGGGGTGCCCCCCCGGGATGGCAGAGATGGGCTGTGCCCCGGCCCGGTACCTGGTGTTCTTTCAGTACTTTGGCACCAGGTACAGGTACGTGCCCAGGTGCCCCCGCGGAGACGCGCGGGGAGAGCGGCAGAGACCGGGGCGGCACCGGGAGAGCTGGGCAGGGATGGGGAGAGCGGAGTTTGGGGAGAGAGGAGTTTGGGGAGGGCAGAATTTGGGGAGAGCGGAGTTTGGGGAGGGCGGAGTTTGGGGAGAGTAGAGTTAGGGGAGGGCGGAGTATGGGGAGGGCGGAATTTGGGGAGAGGAAAGTTTAGGGAAAGCAGAATTTAGGGAGGGCAGGGTTTGGGCAGGGCAGAATTTGGGGGGTGATGGGTGAGAATAGTGTTCAGGTGTGGGATGGGAAGGGTGAGAGGTCAGTTTAGGGAAGACAGAGTTTGGGAAGGGATGGGTGAGAGCAGAGTATGGGGAGGGATGGATGGGAACACTGTTCAGGGGAGAGATGGATGGGAACAGTGTTCAGGGGAGGAATGGGTGAGAACAGTGTTCAGGGGAGGGATGATCCCTTGCTGAGCAGGTGGGAGCACACAGGGAGCTGGACTCTGCTTCCTGCTGTGCACAGAAGTGCGAGGGAGGGGATGGTTCAGGCAGGAAAGGTATAAAATTAGCAAAGAGAAAAGGTCAAAGGGAAGAGAAGAAGGGAAACTTATCTCAGGCTGGGGAGGGAAGGGCAAGTTGCTGTTTTTCCTGCAGTGGTGCCTGATTGTGGCCAGTTCTCAGCGTTCAGGTACCTTTGCTGGCCAGAGGTGCAGGTGAGGTGATGTGTGGGCTGTGATCCCTGCAGGCTGAGCTGGGATTTCCCCAGGCCTTAAACACCTCATGTGTAGAGCTGTGCCTGTTCACATCTCAAAGTGTG